ACTTGGTAGCCCAGGCTGGCCTCGAACTCACAGAGATCCGCCTGCCTCTGCCTCCCGAGTGCTGGGATTAAAGGCGTGCGCCACCACCGCCCGGCGAAAAAACTTTTTTAAAAATAAAAAATTAAAAAAAGATTTCCCTCCTAAAATTTAAGTTGATAAATAATAAAACTTAACCTTGAAGTGGTATTGAATCTATACTACTAAACTATTTTTGAGAACTACACCTCCCAGACACAGAGGAAACATGGGGCGTAAAGGAGAGATGGACCTAACACAAGCAGGAAGGAACCCAAAAAGTTAGTGAAAAGTTGAGCAGCCAGTAGTCCCAAAAATAACACAAAAGTAGACCCAAATTTTGGCAGTCACAGCAAACATCAAACATGGAAATGAGCTTGGAAACAGAACACTTAAAAGTCAGACACAAGTTGGCTTAAAAACCTAGTGGTGTGCTGATCACATAACCAGTCTGAGGGCACAGAGAAATCACATGTAAAAGATGAGGCCCATGTACCTTTCAGGCCTAAGAGCAAACCTACACACCTCTATTTGTGAGAAGAACATTAGCTTAAAAACTTTCTTGTAAGTTATCCTAGAGCAGAATGCAGGGGGCATATGATTTAAATGGCAGTGACTGTCTTTCCTTTGTGGCTCGAAGCAGTAAGAACAAACCTGAGAGGGGAAATCAGCATTATCAGCGTTTCTTATTACTCACTTTGTGCCCGATAGAATTCAGAGATTATGAAATTTTTATGATATTATGGCAACTGATTCATTATCGTTCAACCCTGTATGCCTTGCTTAAATATTTAAAAAGTCCTATTTTTTAAAAAGAGCATTTGGAAATAATTATGCATTTGTAATCTGCTCACAGAACTAGTTAAATGAAACAACAGCAAATTTGCCACATCATTTTCTTCTGAACGCCGCTGGCTTGGATCTGTGTCGGATGATGAATGAATAAATGAACAGTTCTGAGCACGGTGTCTGTGGTATCCCCCACCACATCATAGGTTCTACTCCCTCAGAATGAAAGCAGCTAAGCTTCTGAAGCTTCCTACCTAGGACATTGCACTTGGGGTTGATCTCTCTTACAGAGCCTGGGAAAGGGAGGGAGACGCCAATGAAGAGACTGGCGAGAGGTCAGTAGAAGAGTTTTGGGGGTGAGTAGCTGATACCCCAAGAGGCAAAACAGCCCAATAAAAATGATTTGGGGTGAAACTGCACAGCGCCAATCTAACGTTTTCGATTTCTCATGGAGCTGCGTGTCTTGGCACAAACTCTGACCCTTGCTATCAGCTCATGGATGCTAACCCGTGACCACAGTTAATATTACCAGAGAGATAGTCTCACACCTCTCTGTTGCCACCTGCAGTCCAACATTTCAAATCAGGCATTATGTCAGGACTTATCAGAAGATTTTAACTTATATTTATACAAAATTAAAAGTTAACTTTATAGGAAAAAAGGCCATATGTGTGTTTTCCAAAAGAAAACAGAACAAGACTAAATACAGACATACAAAAAATCATCCACACTTCCAAATCTAAAGAACAGTATTTTACTAACTTGACATATAATGTTTCTGAACCCTCTTCTAGTTTATACATAACACACACACACACACACACACACACACACACACACACACACACACACACACTGTATTTACTGGGATTC